CTGTCCTTGAACTTCTCTTGTCACCAGTTCAGTGCATGACAAGAATGAAGAGTTAACAGGTGCTGGCCCCATGGCCCAGTGTTTCGTTGGTTCAAGTCCTGGGTGCGGACATGGCACTGCTCATGAAGCCACGCTGAGGCAGCGTCCCACATGCCACAACTAGAAGTACCCACAGTGGAGAATATACAGCTATGTACCCGGGGGCTTTGGGGAGAAAAAGGAAAAAAAATCTTTAAAAAAAAAAAAAGAATGAAGAGTTAACAAGGACAGTCTACCACAGTTACTAATTTTCTGTTGTCATGTTTGGCTTTTAAAATTTGGAAGCAGCCGTTGAAGCAGATTCAGCATTTCTAAGTTCTGCCATGAGAGTGAATTTATTTAAGTAATATTTGTAGGCTCAGTTTATATTATCATTTGGTTTGTAATGCTAATTTTGAAGCCTTATTAAACAATTATTATGTGAACGGCAACATACTTTGGACTACAAAAGCCTAAAATGTGGTCCTTAACGCTCAGAAGTTTATAATGTAACCGGCAAAATGAGAAACCAAAACTGCAAGTGCTGAGGAACTGATAAATAATTGATAATAGAGATATGGAACACAGAACTTTTGACTCTCAGTAAACAATTGCTAAGCCTGGGGGTTGCTTCTAAGCCTTAAAGAAAATTTGGAGCAACTTTTCCATACCCTGGAACAGAGGAATAGATTATCACAAATCTGTAAGGATTCATTCTAGTGAATTCTGAAGACTTCATTATGAAGCAACACAGGCTGGAAAACAAAACAAGTTTGGGATCCTAGGAAAGACCCTTCCATAATTTTCAAGTGGCTAAGCTAAGATGTGCTCTCTGTCACTGCCTCTCAGAGCTCCGAGGAATGGTTAAAGCCAGGGGACAAAAGGATTGGCAAAATGTTTGCCTGGGGACCACCTTCCTGGTTTCGTCTCCTTGTTGGTTTGGAGTGGCTTTCTTCCCACTTCCATGCTACTGATTCTGATAAAAGTCACCTCTAGCTAAAGGACTTCACCTTCTTTTTAGGAGATGAAGCTGGCTGTTGAAAAGTGTTGTCACTTCCCTGTCCCAAAGAGTTAAACCTCTGCTCAAACAAGACTAAAATCCATCTACATTCTTAGCCATATGCATTTCTCCGAAAGCATTAAAGGAGACCTCAAGAATTAATAAACATGATTTTCGATATAACTCTTCACCTTTGGCACAGTGCTTCTCTTACAAGAAATAAAGGACCTTCATTGGCTGTTTGCCTCTGTAAAGAAATAGCTGGAGGGGGCTGGCTCCGTGGCTGAGTGGTTAAGTTCGCGCGCTCCGCTGCAGGCGGCCCAGTGTTTCGTCGGTTCGAATCCTGGGCGCGGACATGGCACTGCTCGTCAGACCACGCTGAGGCAGCGTCCCACATGCCGCAACTAGAGGAACCCACAACGAAAAATACACAACTATGTACCGGGGGGCTTTGGGGAGAAAAAGGAAAAAATAAAATCTTTAAAAAAAAAAAAGAAATAGCTGGGGATTTCACAGAGGTTCCTAGGAATGGTAGGTTTGTTTTTAGTTGTTTGAAAAATAGATGTTCCAGTGTAAGATAATAGGCGTTGTTAGATACGTTGCCTAAGTCGGTGGAAGGACTTCCATTCAATAAGCGGCCTTCCCATAAGTTCCACCTTGTTTTGCTTTGAGCCAAAAGTTTTCAAACCTTGTTCCACAGAACCCAGGAGGTCCTCAAACATTTTATTCAAACTTTTTATTTGTAAGATTCATGGTTATCTTTGATTTTTGAAAATATACCAAAAAATACATGAAGATATTCTTGTGAAGATTTGTGAATTAATACATTTTCTTAAGCACCTGCTAGTATACCAGACACAATTCTAGGGACTAAGGATACACCAATAAACAAAGCAAATAAAAATCCATGCCCTCATAGAGCTTACATTCTAGTGGGAGGAGAAAAACAAACAGAATAAATAAGGAAATTACATAGCGTGTGAGAAGGTGAGGGGCCGCCCCGTGGCTGAGTGGTTAAGTTCTTACGCTCCGCTTAGGCGGCCCAGGTTTTCGCTGGTTTGGATCCTGGGCACGGACATGGCGCTACTCATCAAGCCATGCTGAGGCGGCGTCCCATTTGCCACAACTAGAAGGACCCACAACTAAAAATACACAACTATGTACCGGGGGGCTTTGGAGACAAAAAGGAAAAAAATAAAATCTTTTAAAAAAAAAAAGGTGATAAGTACTATCAACAAAAATAAGATGAGGCACATCAAGAATGTCAGTAGGAGGATTTGCAGTTTTAAGTTGGAAGGTCGGGGTAGGCCTCACTGAGAAGTTACCATTTGAAGAAAGACTTGAAGGAAGTGAAAGAATGAGCCACGTAGATAAATAGGAGAAGAACGTTCTAGGCAAAGGGAACAGCCCGTGCAAAGGCCCTGAGATGGGTTGATGTACGTATATTTGGGGAATAGCAAGGAGATAGGTCTGGCTACATTACAACTAGTAAAGGGGAAAGTGAGATCAGAGAAGTAGGAGTGGGAGATGGGATTGTAAATGTCTTTGGCTTTTTTTCCAAGAGAAATAGTAAAGTATATGAATACATGTTGGGAAGTCTTTAAATAATAGAGATGTATATTTTCAACAAAACATCCCTACCTCCTGATCCCATATTTCCCAGAGATCGCTGCCATTTTGGGTCATGTTTTTCCAGAGGTTTTATGTGATTATATACATAGATGGGTACATATGGAAATATATATATGGTTTTGTTTTGTGAGGGTACATGTGTTTTAACATAGGTGAGCCTATATACCCCATGTTAATTAGCAGTTCGCTTTTTACCATTAACATGTCTTGGAGATCTTTCTTTGTCCAGAGGGTATGTATATTTCTATCTCATTCTTTTCAACTGTTGTGTAACATTCTATGTATGCATATGCTACATTTTATTTAACCATACCCTTACTTGTAAATATTTAGGTTGTAATTTCTTTTCTTTCTTTTTCCTTACCTTGCTTCTTTTCCTTTTTTTCCTTTCCATACTGAATTACTATTGTCTTAATATTATATTTAATAACATAATATTACATGTTCCATGAAACATGGGAGGAAATTTGAAAATTAAAGCTTGTGTTACCTTCTGTCAGAAAGCAACATGTGTTTCCTAAATTGGAATCACTCAGATTTGCCTCAATGGAAAAGAGGCCTCACTTACTTCTTAAGCAAGGACTTATGTAATGTTTATTGTTCTGGAATAAATGGGAATCATGAGAGCGCGAGCCCACTTACTCTGAGGTTTGCTAAGATTTCACTCAGTCACCTTAGCCAAGTGGCCCATAGGTCGTCATCCGTAGGAAGTGAGGAGCCAACATCCGCAACTTGCTTCTTCTGTGCAGGCCTCTCTCTTCTCCCACCACCTGCAGCCTGAACCCGTATGGCCCTCAGCCACACTGTTGTTAGGGGCTGTGTGTAGGTCTTGTCTACCCAGCCTTGGTGTCAGCCCCAGGAGGACAGGGATCATCTCTTACATTCCTTTTGTCCCCAACAGTGTCTAGCTGATCCTTAGAATCATGGTTATTTATTTTTAACATATGTTTTCATTATTCTTAAAATTGTACTTGCCAAGTTAGTTTTATTTGGTTTACAACAAACCACGGAATAAAACTTCTGCCATCTCTATGGACATATCAGCACTTCTTTAAAATGTGCCCTTGATTAGGAAGTGTGTGATTGTGCACTGGTCTGGTTGGTGCCCCCAGGCCTTGCTTATAGACAGACAATTGCACTACTACTAATACACACGTGCCTTGCTCGATTAAATGCCAGGCAGATGCAGGTGCCTCTGTTTTGCCCACGCTCACGTCACAGCCAAGTGGTCAGCTGTGCACTAACTAGGAAAATTATCACACCGGGTCACATCACATCACACAAATAATTTTTCACACTTATTCATGTTTGTGATAAAGAACGAGAGGAGATTTGAATCCTGATACCCTGATACCCAGTGGGTGTCAGCAAATGCTGGCTCATCTCCTTCTCCCTTCAAAAGGAAGCAATCAGCCTCAGGAATTTAAAAGGCAGAACACATTTAAAAGAAGTTCAGATATATCTGCACAGATGGGAGAAATCTTTTTCCAAGATTTGTTCTAAACCTTGTTTCTACTGGAATAAAGAAGAATCTCACACGGATTTCAAATGTGCAAAGATTTGTTGTGTTGTATGATTAAAAAGCAAATTTATATACAAGAGTTACCTATGTTATTCTTGCCATTATGTATTTTTCTCTTCAGGGGTACTTAAAGTACAACTACTACCATGAAGGAGAGGGGTCCCCCCAAATTAAAAAGCGATCCTCACGTTTAAAAAATTCCTGGAGGAGCTATTCTTAATGATTAAAGAGTTTCTCTTTGGGGTGATGAAAAAGTTTTGGAAATAGTGGTGATAGTTACACAATCTTATGAATGTCATTAACGCCACTGAATCGAACACTTAAAGGGGCTAAAATGGCAAATTTTATGTTACATGTATTATACCACAATAAAGAAGTGGTAAAAATAGACAGATGGAATTTCTTAATGACGTCAAGATTTTTTAAACTTTCATTGCATTTCAATATAATAGGAAGTCTTGTCTATCTATGATATTATAATAGGAATTATATTATAGGAATGATAATATAACATCACTGTTATAATTATATTAATAGGAAGTCAAGACTTCTTATTATACTTCTGGTTTAGAAAAGGAGAACGCTGAAGGATGGCGTGTTCCAAATACAGCTTCTCTCTTCTCGTGCAATCCCTGGTGGGCCTCTGCAGTGAAGCCTAACACTGTCTTTCCTTTGGTTTCTTTCACTTCCTTTCCAAATCTGTGTTATTTTCCTGTGTTTTTTGCTAGAAGGCAGGGCCTGTGAAAGGAGACCCCTGGCTCCAGTTACGTCAGAGCTAGCAGAAGACAGGAAGTTTACACAGAGCAAAACGATTGGCTCGAGTTGGTTTCGATCCTTCCTAAAGTTATTAGCGCTGGGGATGCTGTCATCAGGATTCTCTTGCACAAAGAGAAAGATATAAAAACATCTCTCCGACTCGTGAGTTTCCTCCCTTTCCCATGCCTTTGCCAGGAATGTCAGAAAAGGATCCCAGGCCGATTGGAGGCGTTAGGTCGTCAGTTTGACTCCCAGTGGTGGACAAAGAAAGGTGGGTAATAAACAGCTAACGGTGGGGAAAAAGGGAACTCAAGGAGACGTGAGAACTGTTCGTTTCACCCTGGACATTTCCTCAAAGCTAGTTCATTTGAAAAGCCTCAGTAGCTGCAGGACCTAGCCTGGAGCTGATGAATTTCCTCTCTGATTCTTGCTCTTGACCCCTGAGAGCTGGCAAAGGGAAGCTTCTGGACTTTAAGGGACATGGATCTTGGTTGAAGTCTCCATAGGAAAACCTACAAGTGTAGAAATCATCTTGGTATCACTACTGCCTCTCCACCAAGGTTTGGGCTGCTTTCCTTCCAATATCACACATCCTAAGTGAGGTGAGTTGTCTGTCTGTTTTTGTTTTCAAATGTTCATACTGAGTAGAGAATTTGGATTCTTTTTTGGTGTGTGTCTTTTTTTTTTTTTTTTTTTTTTTGGTGAGGAAGATTGGCCCTGAGCTAATATCTGTTGCCAATCTTCCTCTTTTTTTTTCAGTTTTTTCTCCCCAAAGCCCCAGTACATAGCTATATATCCTGGTCGTAAGTCATTCTAGTTCTTCTATGTGGGATGCCACCACAGCATGTCCTGATGAGTGGTGTGTAGGTCCACACCCAGGAGCAGAACTGGAGAACCCCGGGCTGCTGCAGCAGAACACACAAACTTAATGACTTGGCCATGGGCCCAACCCTGGTACGTGCTTTAACAAGTGTGTCGCTTGAGCCAGTCCTTCTCATATTTTAATGTGAGTACGAATCCCCTGGAGATCCTGTTATAAAGCAGCAGAATTCGGTGGGTCTGGGGCTGGCCTGAGATTCTGCATTTCTGACAAGCTCCCAGCGACCTCAGTGCTGCTGGTTGGTGGAACACGCCTTGGGTAACAAGGGCTTAAACTCTCTAGGTTTCCTGCTTTTGGGGGGAAGGGGCTGGGGGCTGCTGGTGGAATGAAGGCACTTGGCAGAGCAGGTGATTTATGTAGCAGGCCTGAGAAAAAAATCAGACTCTGCGCCTGCCGTGGCTGTACCTGCTTTGATAGACTATCTCTAAGTCGTGGCGTTTCTGTGAGACAGTTCCCAGACGTGCGAAGTCAAGTCACCTCAAGTGAGGGACGATGTGGGGCTGCTCCTTAGATGCATGGGCCACTGTGAGCAGAGCCAGAAATCTTTTTGTGATTTTTGTAATTTAGGGAATTAAGTGTCCATATCATGCCTCAACTGATGTCGTTAGTGGTCATTTTGAACATTTCAGCTTCAATTAAAAATTATGCATGCTAGAAAAATAAGTGGTGTCTTCCCCCTGCCATTTGGAGGTGAAGATTATAAGGCATATGAATCTATTACATGGTTTGAAGTCAGTTTGAGCAAGGAATAGAATTAATACGGTTTCTGTTCTTGTCACGTGCTTTAACAAGTGTGTCGCTTGAGCCAGTCCTTCTCATATTTTAATGTGAGTACGAATCCCCTGGAGATCCTGTTATAAAGTAGCAGAATTCGGTGGGTCTGGGGCTGAGAGAGTATTCCCCTTTAAAGTGAGTGGCTCCCTGTCCCAAATGATACATGTTTATCTGCAAGTCGCTGTTAACCCAAAAGAGACAAGCCAAGAGGGAAAAACCAAACAGATAAAAGTGTACCTATTCTGTGCCTAGCTGAGGGGAGAAAATAGCAATGGGAGAAAAAAGGAGAAAGAAAGGCGAGTGGTGGCCAGGGAAGTCACAGCTTCACAAATGAATGGAAGAAACCCCAGCCTGGATAGAGAATTCTTTCTACACATACATGGGACACATGCATGGGACACATGCTTGTGTCTTCCTCAGCGGGAGAAGCGTGCTTGCGGCAGAACAGGTAAATTACAGACTGTGTTGTTTTAATGAACACGCTGAAACTATTGGTCAGTAAGCCGCGGACCATGCAATAGGATCAAAGGTCAGAGGCGTGAACAGGCCTGGTAAGACCCAATATGAGCGCATTAAACCATCCCAGACAGAGGGGAATTGCTTCTGTTTGAAATAAGCTTCAAATGACATTCCTTTCTATCACGGGGTATAAACAGAGGGGTTATTTAAAAATTCGACAACCTGTGTGGCGCACGCATTGACCAGTCAGAACAGAAGCTACTGGAAACTGTCCACACAACAGCAAACTGCTGGAAGTCTGTAAGAGTGTACATGGCTGAACATTAGCCTAAGCTATCCCAGGTTTTTATTCAACTTCTTTTGGGGGGAGAAATTGTAAAGCTGCAGATGAGTTCAGAGACATATAATCGTGTTCTTCCCACGATCTGCCAACACGCTGGCCCCATTCTCTCAGGTGAGGCCACTTGCCTCTCTTTTCAAGCCCAGAGCAACCTCTCATTCCAGCTGCATATCTCCTGCAACCTACACCATAGAAAGAAGAGTTCTTTTAAGTCACTGCAAGACTCAAGATCTTGTTTCCTGAGGAGAAGGGAAAATGCATATATTCTTTTGTAAAGAGTTACAGCAGAAAATGAAACTTGATCACCACGTTATCATTCTGTACAAAGATTGTGACACACATTATCCTGCTTGGTTTTTCACAACCATCATGGGGAGTGGCTCAAGGAGAATATTATTTTAAGCTGTTAATGAGGAAACCGAGGCTCGGCTTGAGCAATTTGCTAAAGGCACGCAGCCAGTTACAATCTTGTGCCGATATTCCACGGCTTCCCTGGAGCCAGACGCAGCGAGAAGCACTGTAGCCAGAGTCCACAACAGCAACAGAGAGTACAACGTGAAAATAAAAGAAGCAGTGAAAAGGCAAGGACAGCAAAGAAAGCATGTCGCCAGGTGGAGGGGAGGGATTGTATCCAGGCGGATACTGTACTGGGTCAGTGGACAGGTTGTCAATGGCCTGTACATGAGCACGTAAGGAGGCCATTGTGGAGGAAACATTGTGGGCACAATCAGGGATATATACACAGCATTCTACTTTAATTAGGGCACAGGTTCCTCCTTGGGCTACGGTAAGCATGTCCCAGGCCATTCTATTTTGTAACACTACTTGTCTCGTTTGGGAGGTTTATTCATTTAGTACAGTTTTTGCGTGTCCAGTATCCTTGAGGGCTGTTGCCATATGTTGGGCTACGCCACACACTTGCCATTCTACGTCCTCAACTGCAGCTTATGGAGCAAATATGGCGAGGGGGTAAAACCACCCTGCAGTGTGTCGCACACGATGGCGTGCACGGACTGCCTCCCACTTAGAAGGAAGCTGTTGAAAGGAAGACAGGATGCGTGCAGGGATGTAGGGGTGCCCCCACGTACATCTGCGGGTCTGATTATAAGGCAGCTAGGGCCAGCCGTGGGCGCCACAAGCCCACAGCCACCCCCGAGGAGAGGCATAGGCCCCTTTCATGGTGTTGTCTGGTTTTCCCAGCCACATATCAGCAGTAATGATAACTGTTTGGTTACACATTGCTTTAGGTATCCACCCATATTTTTTGAAATACTTTTTTTTGATGGCATGGAGTTATTATGATGTTCAATGCACCAGAGAAGGGAACCTCTTAATTCTATTTGTACAGCAGTCAGCCATCCTACACCATCAAACACAGAGTACCCCACCCTTGGAGTTACATTAGCCTGCTCACGCACAAGCTGGCAGGTATACTTTCGCATGGCAGCATAAGAGGGCAAGGACACAAGAGGGCAAGGACTTGACGAGAGGGGGGTAGGAATGGGAAAGTGGGGGGCACTCTTCCACTCTCGCAGGGCTCTCCAGTCAGAGGCGTGGGCAGCTTGGAGACGCCATGGCAGCCCATGGTTGAAGAGAGAGGCTGCTTGCTGCATACCCAGCAGTTGGAGCGTTGTGTGTCAGCAATGGTGTGTGCCCAGGCAGCAAAAACGTTGGCAGACGTTGTCCTAAGGACGAAAAGTAAGATATATAGAGGGGACCAGAAAAGGGAGGTCATGACCATCCAGCAAGACGCATGGAGTTGCACTGTCTTGAGTCAGTATGGTACTGGCCTGTGGCTTCGAGCCAGTCTGGCAATATCATACCACTTGTCCAGTTGGTGTGGGCACCCCAGGGGCAGTGGTATAGGATAAGGAAGGAACAACAACACACCAGAGGGAAAGGATGAACATACTTTGAGGAACTGGAGGCCCTGGATTAGTAAGTTTGGAGGTTTTGGGTGGCCCCCCTACAATGAAGGGTCACACTGTGATAGCCTGCTCTAAGCCTGTTTCCCAAGGAGCTAAGAGACCACACCAGCGGGGCCCCACCTGCCAGTCCCAGGGCCAAGTGACCATGTGGGTCCCAGTAGGGAGTTCTGTGGCAGAGACAAAAGCAAGTTGTTCTGAGTGCCCATCTGTGGTTGCAGTTTCTCTCCTTGATTAGCTCTCGTCTGTAGACATACTGTCATGTCAGGTCTTGTGTCGACATCTGATATGTACTGGGTTGAGTGCGTCTCTCATGTTCATTCAGTTGACGTATGGCAGTTGCCAGGCATCTCGTCCAGTGGGCTAGGGTCCTGTCTTCTGTCCTCAATTGTTGTTTCAGGAAGCCGTTCATTTGTTCCACTTGCCTGGCGGCCGTGGGGTTGTATGGCAGGTGAAAATGCCAATGTATGTCCGTTCGATCAGCCCATGTCTGTACCTGTTGGCCAGTAAAATGCATACCTTGGTCGCTGTCAATGTCTGTGGGAATGCTGTAAGCAGCACAGAAGGGTGCCAGGCCTCTCATGGTGGTCTTCTGTGTGGCCCTCTTGCTGGGGTACGCCTGTAGCAGTCCTGTAGACATGCCCACACAAGTGAGAGCATACCGGCAGCCATGAGAAAGAGGCAAGGGCCCGATGTAGTCCACCTGCCAATGTTGAGTGGGCTGGTTGCTTCTAGTGATTTGGTCTGTGTCTGGGGAATGGCCCAGGGTCTCTGCAAGGAACAAGAAGGCCACACCCGACAGACCTGCACCACACCAGCGTAGCACAGGGGGAGGTCCCAGGCCCTGGCAAAAGGCCATAAGGTTCTTTGTCCCTTGTGTCCAGTTTTCTTGTGTAGCCACTCTGCCACTCTTTCGGCTGGCACTTCTTCCGGGAGATGGATCTGAGCTAACTCCTCTGCTTGTTAGTTTCCTGGTGGCGTTGTCGCCTGATGTGCAGACATACTGTACACTGTTATCGTCATTCCCCAGACCCGCTGCCAGATAGCATCCCAGAGCGCTGCCCTCCACAACGGGCGGTCATTAATAGTCCACTTTTGTTGTGCCCATTGTGCCATCCACTGGGTGAGCCCCTTTTCACAACTGAGACCAGAAGCCAAGGGGCACTCCTTTATTGCTGCCTCTGCTAGAGACCCCATCCGAACCCCTATGGGTAACTGGAAATG